AGGCGCGGTGGCTGGGACTCTATGACCCACGGGCCGGCCCATCCCGCTGGGCCTCTAGCCCAGAAGCCTCGGCCAGGTGGTCCGAGGTGCCCTGGGGTCCAAGGGCCAGCAGGTCCCGGTCCCGGGAGAGCGAGGCAGCTGCTGTAGGACCCGCAGCCTGGGACCTCAGTGCCACCCGCAGGCCTGTCTGGCGCACCCGGCTCTGGACGCGCAGAGATCAGTGTTTGGCTCCGTCGTGACCACAATGTGTCCAGAGATCTCAGACCTGGGCTTTGGGGTGACCAAAGTACCGGAGACTTTGGCACATCCTCCCTTCTCTGGCTGATGGAGAGCCACAGCCTCTGCCAGGTGCCAGGGTGCCCTCATGTATGGAGAAACTATAATAGTAACAAAGCATAAGGTGCCACAGCTCCAGCTTTTATTCACAATATGTCTGTGCCTCACCCTGCCCCCACGGAATTGGAATCATATTTTGGAACAAGCCCCCCCTGAGAGTGTGATAGCTGACTGGGAGAGCTCACTACACACCTCCTCTGAGAGCCACATCTCATTTGCTCCTCCAACACGTTCCTTGGAGAGGTACTAGCATCCCCACCTCAGGACAGGTTCACAGCGGTCACGTGACTTGTTCAAGTCCTCCGGTAAGTGATGGAGGAAGACCTAAGCGAGGTCTGCCTAATGCCAGCAGAACTAGGACCCTGGAACGCTGGAGGACAGCAGGGATGTCTGCATCTGCTGGGATGGGGTAGAGGTGGGTCTCCCAAGTGGAGGAAGGTCTTCTGGGGCTCCTTATCCCAGAGCGGCCCTAACGGAACAAAGGTGGACCCGCGTCCTTTTGCAGGTTTTGAATTTCGCCCAGCTCCTCTCCTCCAATCTGCCAGGGTACCTGTGTCTCCGTGTAGATCTGCTGTCTCTACAGATATGGTGGCTGAGGGTGGGCAGCCCCAGACGGTGCTGGTGACTCCTGTTGCACCTGGGAGGTGATGTTTCTGGGTTCTGCTCACATCACTGCCACCTGTGAGGCTCCGAGTGAGTCATTTGGCAGCCATGGGTCTTCCTTCTCCCCAGTGTCACCAGAGATGCTCACACCTCCTTCTCCGCTCCTGGGAGTGAGTGTGAGAATTAATTACTAGCACACCCCAGAAGGGTGAGGAGAACGCTCAGGAGTGAGTGTGTGTGATGGGATAACACACCCCCGGGAAAGGCTGGGAGAGAGGTGGCTGGCCAGAGTCCCCTACTTCCTCCAGGTGGGGGATGGCTCCAGATCGGCCCCTCGGGAGCCCTGGAGACTTGGTTGGCTCTGCTCGGAGGCTGTGGGAGCTTGATCTCTGCTGGGCTCCATCCAGCAGTTTCTGTCCCAGACAGAGGAGCCTTGTTCTCTCCTCCTTAGACACTGTCATTGTCTGGCACCGAGTTATGGGGGCGAGAGGTGTCCTGGGGCTTGGATGCCCTGCAAAGGCCCCGCCTGGCATGACTCCTAAATTAATAATGTATTTAGCTGTGGGAAGGGACCCTTGATTGCCAAGGGCCTGGAAGAGGCGTCCCTCTGAGTGTGTTATGGCACAACCTGGCACGAAAAGGGTTACCCAGGCAGCAGCCATCTTGCTGCAGCGGAAGCTTTGTTCCCAGCTGAGGAGCTGAATAAATCTTTCTGGGGCTGGCAGGGTTCTCATCGGCCACATTTGGGGGACTCTTCTGCCCCCCTCCCCTTGGTTCTGGGTTCTGCGGAAGACACTTTAGCCCTGGAGTCTCAGCTCAGAGGAAGGGGCGGTTTCTTTAGCAAAGGAATCCGGCTTGCTCACTGTGGTCAGATAAATGTTTTTATCTGTCTCCGTACACCCTGAAACCTGAGGTATATTTTGTCTCTGAAGATGAGTCTACATCCCCCCACCCCACATCTGACACCAGTTTCTTCTCTGTGTGCACTCCCCTCTCTGCCTCCCGGCCCATCCCCAGGGGTCGGTAACATTCAGACTTCTCCAGGGTACTCAGCCCATTTCCCTCTGTTTTCTCCACAGCAAGCCCCACCCAACACGGACTGGCGTTTCTCTCAGGCCCAGAGACCCGGCACCAGCGGGTAGGTGACTGCCTCTCCAGCCCACCCTCTTCTCTGCGGCATTTTCTCAGTGATGACGTGAGAGGGGGTGGGGGAGGGCTCAGCATTTGCTACGAATGGCTTCTTCCCTCAGTTCCAGATTTCAGGGAGGTTCTGGTGTCCTGGGGGCTCTTACACAGATCCCAGAGGGAAGAGGCTATTTTGGAAGCTCAGGTCATGCGCTCATCCCCTCTCTTCTCCCACCCCAGGAAACCTGTCCTATCTCCTGGGGGCTCTGTGGGACCACAAGGTGGTTTTAAGGTGGTCTCCGGGTAGGGGAGGGAGCTTATTAACCCATCTACTGCCTACATCACCCCACTCTGGGCTCCATCTTGACCTGGGGTTCAGGCCGAGAAACCTGGGGCAGGAGGAGGAGAGGAGGAGCCTGCAGGAAAGAGCCAAGGAGGAGAGGGAGGTCGGCAGCTGTGGGGGAAGGGAGACAGCACAGCTGGAGGTGGGGCTGAGGAGGGAGAGCTCTAGGGCAGGTCTTCCTGGCCCTGACCCTCCTCCGGGCCACCCGGGAGGCCCCCCACTGGTTCTACCCTCTTAGTCCCAGGCCTTCTGTCTTTGCTACTCTCTTATCTCCACACCTGCCCCTCAGTCTCTGTCAGTTTACATTCTCGGCCTCTCCCTTTTCCTTGGTCTCTATCTCAGTTTCTGTATTTATTGCTGCCTCTCTGTTCCTACCATTGTCTCTACTGGCGTTGATCTGTGCCTCACACTACGCCTGCCATGGCCAGGTGCTCAATAAATGTGGAATCAATGAATCAATGTGACTTCCCAGTCGCAGTCAGTTTCTCCTTTTCTCTCTGTCTCTGCCTCCCTGTCTCCATCCTTGATCTCTGTTCTGTCTCTCCCTCTTTCATCCGTTGCTAGTGTCCTTGTGTTCCTCTGCCTCCGGTTTTTGTTCCTCCACCCCTCACTATTTCTGCTGTCCTCTCTATGCTCAGCCTCTGTGTCTCTGTCTACATGCTCAGCCTACATGTCTCTGTAACTGTGGTCTGTCCTTTCCTGCCTCACTGCGTCTCTTTCTGTTTCTCTTTATTTATCTCTCTCTGTCTCTATTTTTTATCCTGTCTTTTGCTCAGTGTCTCTGCCTGTCTCTCATTTCTTTGGACTTGTGGGCAAGCCAGCACACACATCATCCCCACCTCTCTCCCTCCCCAGGCCCCTCACACACAGAGCCTTTGATCAGTGCTTTCCAACACACACCCTCCCATGTAGGCTGCCCCAGCTGCTCATTTCAATCTGGTATG